GCCATGGATGCTGCCCCTTCCAGTGTTCTGCGCCCTTTTTTGGTGTAGGCTGAGGCTCGCAGCAAGAAGACCAGTCACCATTGTCGTAGCACTACCCACTCAGTGAGATTGGATAACACTGGGAAAACATACCTGTTCCACTTGGAACAGGAATGTTGCGGAAGCCCCATCCTTCCCGAAGGAGGTTTCAGAAGCACTTACGCATATGACATCCGTTTAGGTGCATATGGAAGATTAGAGGTGATTGTAACCCTCATGGAAATGGCAGAAGTCTGCCGGGGAAACATGGGCTTTAAGGCTTTACCGTGGACTTTACACATATGGGATATGCTTAGGTCTCTACATATGGAACCCAGCCCTCTACCGGTTCTCACAGATTCATAGAGTGAGGGCCTGGCGCCGGACATTCCGCCACGTCTGGCTGCCGAGGGGATGGAGGGCTCGACAGGGTCTACAGTACGGACTCTCTGGAGTGGTTTTAGCAAGCCGACACTAAACCGGGGCCTCTCAGTGCCTCTACCCGTTTGAGGTTAGAACACAGGAGGATACCGGCTCCACACGAAGGCTATAGAATCTAGCGAACATGTTGGGGGTCGACCAGCCCGCAGCTCTACCAATATCTGTCAGCGAGGTGCCACGAGCCAGCGCCCAGGACACACTTCTAGTAGAGTGAGTTCGCAACCTGAGCGGGCAGGGCATACCCTGTGCCTGATATGCCAGGGTGATGGCATCCACAATCCAGTGGGCCATCCTCTGCTTAGAGACAGCACTCCCCTTCTGCCACGGTAACAGACAAAGAGCTGGTCTGAGGTCCTAAAGCTTTGTGTCTGGTCTACGTAGCATCTCAAAGCTTGGACAGGACAAAGCAAAGCTAATGCTGTGTCTGCCTCCTCCGGGGGCAGCGCTTGCAGGCTCACCACCTGATCCCTGAAGGGAGTAGTGGGAACCTTGGGCACATAGCCGGGCCGGGGCCTCAGGATTACCTGGGCCGACCGAAAATGCTTGCAGGTCCCCTTCCCTCTTGATGGAGGCGAGTGCAAGCAGGAGCAGAGTTTTCATAGATAGAAACTTCAGCTCAACTGACTGCAAAGGCTCAAATGGGCCCTGCTGTAGTGTTTTGCACCAGAGACAGGTCCCAAGAGGGTATGGAGGGGGGCCGGGGAGGATTTAACCTTCTCGCTCCCCTAAGGTACCTGATGACTAGGTCATGCTTCCCTACCAACTTCCCTTCCACGGGGTCATGGTGAGCAGCAATCGCAGTGACATAGACTTTAAGGGTGGAGGGAGACAGCCTTCGCCGACCGAAAATGCTTGCAGGTCCCCTTCCCTCTTGATGGAGGCGAGTGCAAGCAGGAGCAGAGTTTTCATAGATAGAAACTTCAGCTCAACTGACTGCAAAGGCTCACTGCTGTAGTGTTTTGCACAGGTCCCAAGAGACAGGTCCCAAGAGGGTATGGAGGGGGGCCGGGGAGGATTTAACCTTCTCTCCCCCTAAGGAACCTGATGACCATGTCATGCTTCCCTACCGACTTCCCCTCCACGGGGTCATGGTGAGCAGCAATCGCAGTGACATAGACTTTAAGGGTGGAGGGAGACAGCCTTCGCTCCAACCCCTGCTGCAAAAAGGAAAGCACGACCCTGATTGGGCATATCCTGCAGTCTTCTCGGCGAGAAGAACACCACTAGACGAACAGGTTCCACTTTAAGGCGTAAGCGTGTCTCGTAGACGGTGCTCGCGCCGAAGTGATGGTGTCAACTACCTGCTGGGGTAGGTCACCTAGAACCTCCGCGTTCCGTCCAGGGACCAGACATGAAGTTTCCAGAGGTCTGGACGCGGGTGCCAGAGGGTGCCCCGTCTCTGAGTCAGTAGATCCTTCCTCACAGGAATCTGCCAGGGAGGGGCTGTCGCGAGGATCATTTGTTCGAGGAACCAGGTACGAGTGGGCCAATACGGCACCACAAGCAGGACCTGCTCCTCATCCTCCCTGACCTTGCACAGCGTCTGTGCGAGAAGGCACACTGGGGGAAGCGCATACTTGCCCAGGCCCGCAGTCAGTTGTGTGCCAGTGCATCCGTGCCGAGTGTTCCCTCGGTCAGGGAGTAGAATAACTGGCAGTGAGAGGTTTCTGGAGAGGAAAACAGATCTACCTGAGCAGCTCCGAAACGTCTCCAAATCAGCTGGACCGTCTGGGGATGGAGTCTCCATTCTCCCGGGAGCGTAGCTTGTGACAGCTCGTCGGCCATACGGTTGAGCAGACCCGGAATGTGAATGGCACGAAGTGACCTCAGAACCTTCTGACTCCAAAGGAGGAGGTGGCGGGCGAGTTGCGACATGCGACGGGAGCATAGGCCACCTTGTCTTTTGATGTACGCAAAAGTCGCCGTGTTGTCCGTTCGGACCAGCGTGTGCTTGCCTCGTAAGCGCCCTTTGAGATGTTTCAAGGCAAGTCGCACCGCTAACAACTCTAGGCAATTGATATGCCAGTGCAGTTGGGGGTCCGTCCACATCCCTGAAACTGTGTGCCCGTGGCCCCCCAACCGGTGGTGGAGGCATCCGTGTAAACCACAG